ATTCTTGTCTGTTCCCTCTGTGTTGTGTCTTGTCATGTTGTATTTTGTGCTATTCAGTCAGCACCTCCACACAGCTGGCATGACGTGGTAGAGAGTGAGCCATATAATCAGACACCTTAAAAGGAGACTCGATACATGAATGTGACAACATTCAAGACGCAACTACATCAGGAGAACCCAAATATCTCAAGTAGGAAGTCTTCTTAGAACACTCAGCCCAGAAGAATTGAAAGACTGCACCACTGGGTCCCACAAAACAACCCCAAAATAAGACCAATTCAAAAAATCTGGGTGGCATAGCAGTTTAATCTAACACATAGAAACAAATTACAAAGGAATGGCAAAAATGGGGAGACAAAGAGACAACCCCCATAAGAAAGAAAAGGCGGATCAGCAGAAAAAGGAAATAAATGAAATGGAGGCAAGGAAATTGTCAGAGAAAGAATTCAGAGTAATGGCTATAACAGCGGTTCTCAACCTGTGAGTCGTGACCCCTTTGGGGGTTGAATGACTTTCACAGGGGTCGCCTAAGACCATCAGAAAACACATATATAATTACATATTGTTTTTGTGATTAATCACTATGCTTTAATTATGTTCAATTTGTAACAATGAAAATACATCCTGCATATCAGATATTTACATTACGATTCATAACAGTAGCAAAATTACAGTTATGAAGTAGCAATGAAAATAATTTTATGGTTGGGGGTCACCATAACATGAGGAACTGTATTAAAGGGTCGCGGCACTAGGAAGGTTGAGAACCACTGGACTATAAGAATGCTCAAATGGCTGGATGAGAAAGTTAACAACATGTGTAAGAATCAAGAGGAAATGAAGAATGATATAGCTGAAATAAATAACACAATGGAAGGTTTCAAAAGTAGACTAATAGAAGCTGAGGACCAAATCACAGAGTTAGGAGATAAGGTAGAAAAAAACACCCAAGCAGATCAGCAACTGGGAAAAAAAAATAAAAATCAGGAAGACAGTCTAAGGGAGCTTTGGGACAACACGAAACAAAACAACATCCACATAATAGGGTTGCCAGAGGAAGAGGAAGCTGAGCAAGGAATAGAAAATCTGACGAAATAATGACAGAAAACTTCGCTGACTTTGGGAACAAAAAAGTCACACATGTCCAAGAAGCATACAGAGTCCCAAACAAGATGAACCCCAAAAGACTGACACCAAGACACATCGTGGGGAGACAAAATGGTGGCAGAATAGATGGACGTGCCCCGAGCCTTGTCTCAGAGCAGATAGAATGAGCAACTAAATCGAATAACATCCACCCCAAATTGGCAAAGTAGACACAGCTGGTGAGACAATTCACAGCCAGGAAAGGCAGAGGACACTGGGAGAATGGTGAAATCAGGGATCTGGGCTGGGAGAACTGCGGGGCCTCAGAGCCCAGAAGGTTAGAGGGAAAACGCACTGAGGCTGCGTCCCGTGGGTCAGGCACAGCGTCTGACTGTGGAAAGGAGGTCCGCAGGACTGCTGGTGGCAGGGGATTCTAGATCTGGGTCCACAGTCAAAACAGACTGAGCCTAAAGGGGGCATTCAGGACAGCTGCCCAGACCATGCGGTGCCGGGGGAGAGGGGCTCACAGAGGCACAGCTCTTTCTCCTCTTTTTGTTCTTTGCTTTTCTTCATTGAACCTAGTTCATAGGACCTTTCAGATATGGACACTTACACGTGGCTGAAGTGCAGGAGGAGGTGAGGACTTGTGAAGTCAGGGGAGAGGCTGGGGTGAGGAAAGGGCACGGGAGAGGTGGCCACAAGTCTGGCGCTGATTCCTACCTGACACACAGGACCTAGGTAGCCATTTTCTCCTGAAGAAATAGCTCTCTCTGCAGTCTCCAGGCAACCAATACAGCCACACACAGACTATGCCCTGAGTGGTACAAAGGATAAAAAAAAATCTGAATAGTCCCTGAGAGTCCACAGGGACTGGCGTAAAGAGAGGCCTTCAGTCCCAGCAAGAGAAAACTGAGAAGCCACAGACAGTACAGAAGAGTGAGATCTTAAACTAGCCAAAGGAACGATACTTCACTTTTTCATTTTTATTTTATTTTATTTTATTATTATTTTGCTGAGTCCCTGAAAGTCCAAAGGGACTGGCCTAAAGAGAGACCTTCAGTCCCAGCAACGGGAACCTGAGAAACATTACAGTACAGAAAACTGGGATCTTAAGCCAGCCAAAGGAGCAACACTTCACTTTTTCATTTTTATTTTTTTATTATTATTTTGTTACCTCTTTTTTTTCTTCTTGTTTCTTTGTTTTCCTGTTTTTGTTTGTTGCTTTATTTTCTATTTCTTTTCACATTATTCTTTCATCACTCTATTTTATTTTATTTTTATTTGCTATTTTTATACCATTTTTGAAATCAATTTTTTGGTAAATTTATTATTATTATTTTCTTCTCTTTCTCTTTCTTCTTATCCATTCATCCTCTTTCTACTTCCTCTATACTGAACTGAGGTCCTCCCCATATTCATCCAATTCTTAACCTTACAGTATATAAGATTCTGCCCCACCCTCTTAAATGGGAATTTGGTGTTTGTATGCTTTGGTTTACCTGTTTGTTCTCTGGTGTTTTCTCCATATATATATAATTTTATATATATATATAAAATTTATAATTATATACATATGTATATATGTATATATATATAATTTTCCTTTTTCTTCCTTTTCTTTTCTCTCATACCATTTTTTCTCTCTTTGATATCATTTCTGCTCTCTTTTCTCTCCCCCAATTCTCTTTTCTCTGGTGATCACTTATATTGGGGTTATTGGTGTCATGAGTACATTCGTGTTTTGTTCCCTTGTGTCGTGTCTTGTCAAGGTGAATTTTATCCTGTTTGGCCAATATGCTAGAGAGTGAGCCACATAGCCAGATACCCAGAGAGGAGACTCCATCCATGAACGGGTCAATAGCACTCCAAACCCAACTACAGAGGCAGGAAAAAGGCAGCAGTGAGGGAGAAAGCATGAGTGAGTAAGGGAGCAAAAGAGGAGTGTGTGGTCGTGTTGGGCGTGTGTGTGTGTGTGTGTGTGTGTGTGTGTGTGTGTGTGATGGAGGCACAGTTAGATCGTGCAGGACTGTCAGGGGAAGGCTAACTGGGCTCACCAAACTAGGCAGCCTCTGCTACTGTTGCAAACAGTCCCAGAGCGGCTGGCTCTTCCTCAGAAGCCTTGCCTTTTTGAAGGGGAGAGCTGCTGTGACTGGGAGCCCAGCCTCACCTCCACCCAGGTTGTCCTCAGATAACACCCGGGACTCTACAGCCACCTCCACCAGGGATGTGCTGCCTTGGCTGCGGTACCACGGTCACTGAGACTCCAGTAACCCTGGGCGCAGGCTCCTGTGAGTTCCGAAGAGCACTCCCCTCTGACCGGCCCAACACTTTATCCCAGGGCACTGAGACAACATGAGCAGCAGACACGTGAGCAGTCCGTTCCTGTCCGAGGAGCAGCAGCCCCACGAGCAGCCCACACCAGGCCAAGGAGCAGCAGCCTCACGTGGCCTGCCCCTGTCCAAGGAGCAGCAGCTGTGTGAGCGGCAAACCCCCACCCCCCGTCCAAGGAGCAGCAGCTCTCTGCACAGCCCACCCCCATCCGAGAAGCAGGAGATGTGCAAGCAGCCCACACCTTTCTGAGGAGCAGCAGCCGCACGAGAACCCCACCCACATTTGAGGAGCAGCAGCCTTGTGCACAGCTCAACCCTGTCCGAAGAGCAGCAGCCTGCCCCTATCCAAGGAGCCGCAGCAGTGCGAGCAGCCTGCCTCTGTCCAAGGAGCAGCAGCTCCAAGAGGAGCCCGCCCCCATTCAAGGAGCAGCAGCTGGCCAAGCAGCCTGCACTGGTCCAAGGACCAGCAGCCACATGAGCAGCCAGCCCACGAACGAGGAGCGGCAGACCCACGCAGCCTGCCCACGTCCAAGGAGCAGCAGCTGCACACACAGCTCACCCCCATCTGAGGAGCAGCAGCCATGCAAGCAGCCCACTCCCATCTGAGGAGCAGCAGCTCCATGAGCAGCCCGACCCTGTAAGAGAAGCAGGAGCCCTGCGAGCAACCTGCCCCTGTCCGAGGAGCAGCAGCCCCATGAGCAGCACGCCCCCATCTGAGGAGCAGCAGTCCCTGTGAACAGCCCGCTCCCGTCCGAGAAGCAGCAGCTGCGCAAGCAGCCCACCCCCATCCAAGAAGCAGCAGCTCCATGAGCAACCCACCCCTGTCCGAAGAGCAGCAGCTATGTGAGCAGTTTGCCCCTGTCCGAGGAGCAGCAGCTGTGCAAAGCCCACACCTGTCCGAGGAGCAGCAGCCTTGTGAGCAGCCCACACCCATCCGAGGAACAGCAGCTGCATGAGCAGCCTCCCAACCCACAGCCAGAGGAGCCACCACTGCTGCGAACAATGCCCACCAGAGGAGCCGCTGATAACTGAGCAGCAGCCACTGCTGCAACCGCCCAAGGAGCAGCGGCTGCCCAAGGAGCCACTGTCACCCAAGGAGTAGCCCCTGTACAACTCAACACCTAGATCCTTTGGTGAGAACAAAAATGGGTAGGCAAAGAAACCCCCAAAAGAAAGAAAAGGAGGACTCACCAGAAAAGCAGCTAAGTGATACAGAGGCATACAATATGTCAGAAAAAGAATTCAGACTAAATGTCATACAGTTCATAAACCGGATGGATGAAAAAAAACAACTTATGTAAGAATCAAGAAGAAATAAAGACTGATATAGCTGCAATAAAAAAAACCCATGGAAAGTTTCAACAGTAGACCAGGAGAAGCAGAGGAATGAATTAGCGAATTAGAAGACAGTGAAGCAAAGCACACCCAAACTGAACTGCAACTGGAGAAAAAAATAAAAGGCATGAGGAGAGCCTAAGGGAGCTATGGGACAACATGAAACGAAGCAACATACAAATAATAGGGGTGCCAGAACGACAGGAAGAGGAACAAGGGTTAGAAAACCTATTTGAAGAAATAATGTCAGAAAACTTCCCATAAGTGGAGGAGGAAAAAGTCACACAAGCACAAAGAGTCCCAAACAAGATGAACCCGAAAAGACCCACACCAAGACACATCATAAATACTGTGGCAAATGTTCAGGACAAAGAGAGAATCTTAACGGCTGCAAGAGAGAGAGAAAAAGTTACATACAAGGGATCTCCCATTAGATTATCAAATGATTTCTTAACAGAAACACATCAGGCCAGAAAGGAATGGAAGGAAATTTACAAAGTGATGCAAAGCAAGGGACTGAATCCAAGAATACTCTATCCAGCAAGGCTATTATTCAAAATTGAAGGGGAAATAAGGAGCTTCACAGATAAAAAAAGACTAAGGGAGTTTATCACTACCAAGCCAGCAATGCAAGAAATGCTAAAGGAACTGGTGTAAAAAGAAGAAATAAAAAGTGAAGAAGCAACTCAGGCACAAAAAATAAAAATGGCTACAAACAAGTACCTATCAATAATAACTTTAAACCTAAATGGACTAAATGCTCTAATCAAAAGTCATCATGTGGCTGAATGGATAAAAAAACATGACCCATATATATGCTGTCTACAAGAGACCCACTTCAGAACAAGGGACTCACATGGACTAAAAGTGAAGGGATGGAAAAATATCTTTCAGGCAAATGAATGTGAAAAAAAAGCTGGGGTTGCAATACTTATATCGGACAAAATAGACCTCAACAAGAGATAAGGAAGGCCACTTCATAATACTAAAGAAATCAATACAACAAGAGGATATAACCCTGATAAACATATATGCACCCAATGCAGGAGCATCCAAATACATAAAAAAAAACTCCTGGAAGATATCAAGGGAGAGATCGACAACAATACAATCATAGTAGGGGACTTTAATACACCACTGACATCACTGGATAAATCCTCTAGACAAAAAATCAGCAAAGAAACAGCAATCCTAAATGACTCACTAGATCAGATGAACTTAATTGACATCTTTAGAACATTTCACCCCAAAGCCACAGAATATACGTTCTTCTCAAGTGCACATGAGACATTTTCAAAGATAGACCACATATTGGGTCATAGGCAAAGTCTCTCCAAATTCAAGAAGATTGAAATCATATCAAGCATCTTCTCAGACCACAATGGCATAATATTACAAATAAACTTTAATAAAAACAATAAAAAATATTCAAACACTTGGAGGCTGAATAGCATGCTATTAAACAATTATTGAGTTACCAAAGAGATCAAAGAAGAAATTAAAAACATCCTGGATACGAATGACAATGAAAACACAACAACCCAAAATCTATGGGACACAATGAAAGCAGTCCTGAGAGGGAAGTTTGTAGCTCTACAGGCCTACCTCAAAAAAACAAGAAAAAATGGTAGTAAATCATCTAACTCTGCAACTTAAAGAATTAGAAAGAGAGCAACATGAAAAGCCCACAGTGAGCAGAAGGAAGGAGATAATAAAGATCAGAGCAGAAATAAATGACATAGAGAT